AAGATAAAAGAGACTCTGCTAATAAGGGAATTAAAACCCACCCTAAATGATAATGTAAGCAGCGAAAAGCTTTATCTTTATTAGTTTGCATTGTTTATAAGCAAATTTTTCTCAGCTTCTCTCATTGTAATTGTTAATTAGTTACTTATTTTAAATTGAAATTTAGTTGTTACTTCTCTTCCTAACGGTCACTTCTGAAGATGCATGTTGAAACATACGAAACGTCAAGTAAATGAACTTTGTTTTTTAACATGCGTTTTATTGCCATGTTTATCACCGCAGTTTGGGTGTTATTTCTTTTCAAGTTGCCAGGGAGATCGAGGCATGAAAAAAATAAAAAAAAATAAAAAAAAATAAAAATAAATCTGGGTGTGAACGGGACTCGAACCCATGAAGGAGCGAATGCGATGCACCCTGTTATACCAACTGAGCTATCAAGCCATATTTTTGAATTCGTATTATATCACTTCAGAGCTGAATTGATAGTGAATATGTCAGTATATTACTGTATGTATATGAGCTACGGACATGAAATGATGTCAAAGTGATCATCGCAGTTAAGGGAGCAGCTTAAGCATTTTCAAAGAAGCCTAAATAAAATCCAGACCTGGACTAAACTCGCACCCAAGTACCCAATACTCTTGAAAATACTGCCACTGTTACGGATACTATCTTTAAATTCTTTAATCTGGCTTTAAGGGAAGCTATCAGTGACGTCATTGGTCAAGCTGACATTAAAACAAGAAAAGGTGTGTGCCCTTTCAGTCATATTCAGCCATGAAGTTTATTTTAAACAATTCTTTGCCAGTTAAATAGCTCATCACATTTACAGAAGATCCAAAATCGTTGGTTACGTTTAGACTCAAACATAGATTACTTGGCTCAGTATCAAACGAAGTCATTTGGAAAGGTATGGTCGAGCGTTCACATTTGAAGACCGGGATGAAGGTAGGCTTATATCTTATGAGGTAAATCAGTATAGATCGTGTTTAAAGTGTTTGCATAAATTAATTTCCTAAGGGTTCGTTAGGGACACCAAAATGGCCGCCGCTTCTCTGTTTAGGGACACCAACACGATCGCCGTGACGCCAAGTGCATACACTCTTTTTTAAATCAATGGTTACTTGTTTTAATCTTCGCGTAAAAAAAAAATTAAATTCATCGCAAGTAAAATAATTTTTGTGTCGCCGTTTCGTTTTGGCGCCAAAATATAATTGCCAAGGTTTGGAGACAAATCTCCAAAGCTCCGCAGCCCTAAATAAGGACCGTACTTGCTTTCCGATCAGCCGAACACCGATGTGTTGATTTCCTTACAGAATTTCTAAGTTGAGCTATTCCTTTGCCAAACATTGTGTCCTTCCAACCTTGCAAACTCTCGCCCAAACAATATTTGCTTATTCAATTCCTTTATAGTTTGATTGTTGTTAAAACAAGTCCAAGAATTAAATCGGAATCCATACATCGGTGTGACCTTCAAAATAAGGTAATGTCTTACAACGTAGGCTCGAATCAAGGTCTTCTGAAATGACGACCAGTACCTGGAATAAGGGTAATACTCGGCATTACTTCCATAACGCACGTGCCACTCATTATCATTCAAATCAGGCCGATGTTTGCTGTATGAGCTTGTAGTTTAATGGTCACGCTCTTAAGAGTCTCCTATAGCGATAGAGCTGGTGGCACAAGTAGAGCATCCGAACAAGTATTTGGCTTCCTGTTCGGAGTCCCGTGAGGATATCCTTTACAAAGAAATATCAGGTTTGGAAAAAGAATTGGTTGAAAACACTGCCCTGAGCGACACACAAAAATCACTGCTACAGTGATAATCTTAGAAGTGAGATGGAAGAAATTATTGAGTATCGTACAAAGGGTGCCATGTTACGGTCGAGAAGCCGATGGCATAATGAAGGAGAAAAAAACACAAAATACTTTCTAAATCTAGAAAAACGACATTACAGATAGGAAAAGTTAGTCGCTTAAAGAAAAGTGAAAACGACTTTGCAACCACAAATAAGGAAATCCTTCATGAATGCGAGTCTTTCTTCAAGGATCTTTATTCTTCTAAGATGAAAACTGACTCGATCCTTCTAGAAACTGCCTTTTTTTTCTCAGAGAACGACACCGTTTTAAGCAACGAAGAACGCGATTCCATTGAAGGTTTGTTAACTGAATTGGAATGTCTCAATGCTTTGAAAGATATGGAACCAGACAAAAGCCCCGGAACAGATGGCTTGCCTTCTGAATCTTACCAAATGTTTTGGAGTGAAGTTTCCAAACCTCTGCTAGAAGCTTTAAATTACGGTTTTGAGATCGGCCAGCTGTCTATATCTCAAAAACGGGGTATAATAAAACTTATTCCCAAGAAGAGTGAAGAACTTTACTACATCACAAACTGGAGGCCGCTTACACTCTTAAACTGCGATTACAAGGTAGCTACAAAAATGATTGCAAACCGTCTGAAGACCCATCTCCACAAACTGATAAATAATGACCAGACTGCTTTTGAAAGGACGGTTTATAGGAGAGAACATACGTCTAATTGACAGCGATATTAATTACAGCGCTGCAAAAAAATTCCCGGACTTCTACTTTTCCTTGACTTTGAGAAAGCGTTTGACACGTTGGAATGGTCTTTTATACAAGAAACACTTATTTCTTTCGGATTTGGCCCTTTCATTGGCCAATGGTTTAAAACCTTGTATAACAACACTGAAAGCTGTATTATGAGCAACGGCTGGGCAAGCAACTTCTTTTCGGTCCACTGGACAGAGGTGTCCGCCAAGGTTGTCCTCTCTCCCCTTACCTTTTTATTCTTTCAGCCGAAATTCTGGCCCTCACAAAGCAACCCGGAAAAATGCAGACATAAAAGGTTTATTAGTTAAGAATACTGAGATTAACTTAAGCCAATATGCTGACGACACAACTTTAATTCTTGACGGTTCAGGAAAGTCACTCTCTGAAGCCCTGAGGATCTTAGAAAGCTTCGAGAAAGTTTCAGGTCTCAGACTAAACAGTAAAAAGACTGAGGCTCTTTGGATAGGCTCTTTGGATAGGCTCTTGTGCTGGCAAAAGTGAAAAACTGCACCCAGAAAAAGATTTTAACTGGCAAAATACAAAGGTTAAAGCGCTCGGAGTTTGGCTATCAACCGACCCGGAAATTACAATCAAACTTAACTTCGTCGAAAAAATAGAAAAAAATTCGGAACTGCTTGGGCTGCTGGATAGTTCGAAGACTAAGCCTTATCTGGAAAATAACAGTTCTTAAGAGTTTGGTTACCTCCCATGCAAATCATCTTTTGTCGCCTCTTCAAATCAAATCTCAAATTATAAAACAAATGACCTCTTTTTTGACTTCCTTTGGAACAGTGAAGGTGATAAAATCAAGAGAAACGTTATCACCCAAAACTATGGCAACGGAGGACTTAGAATGATCGACATTGCTTCTTTCAATAAAGCCCTTAAGTCCGTGTGGATAAGACGAAAATAACAAGGGGAAATGGAACATTTTTTTGACGCTGAGCTCGAAACACTTGGAGGCCAAACTGTTTTTAGGGGCAACCTTAACATAAAAGACTCGAAGAAATTTGCTAACAATCTTAGCCCCTTTCTGAAAGAGATTCTCGAGATATGGTCTGAATTAAACTATCAAGGCTCAATAGAAACGGTAGAGTCCTTCATCACACAAAGCTTATGGTATAATTCTTTGATTAGAGTTATGGACAAACCGGTTTTCTATAAAAGTTGGTATCAAATGGGCATTTCTCATGTGAATCAAACCGTTTAGGAACAACCAGGTACTTTCTTGTCACCAACAGAATTTGAAAGCAAGTATCATACCAAGGTTTGCCCTTTGACACTCTATGGAATGACATCTACCCTCCGAGAGCTCTGGAAAAATCAAAAACCACCAATTGTACCACTAAATTGTAAAGAACAAGAGTCTTTCACAAACGTCTTTTTAAAATCGAAAAAGCCCAGCAGACTAGCTTATCAAAAACTGGTGGAAGTAAAATGTAACTATAAAATTTCTAGTCAGGAGAAATGGAGCAAGGTTTTCCCAGAAGCTCTGATTTAATCCGGATGGCATAACGCACACATGACTGCTATTAAATGTACCAAAAGCACCAAACTGATTGAATTTCAGAAGCCTGATACTTCCAAAAACAAAGCTGCAATTAACTTTGTTCTGTAACTTGCGAGATTCTACATTTGGCTTTGCAGAAGCAAAGGAAATATTCCAACTATCAAAAATTTTAAGCCCGGCAGAGCTGAGGGGAAGGAGCAAGTAACCGGCAGACAGGTCCACAGAAAGGACGGAGAAAATGGTCACGTAAACTTCTATAGCTTTAACAGGATGTAGAGACAAATCCACATGGCGACGAATAGCTGAAAGATTGGAGGAACCGTCCCTGAGGAATTTTCCCCAGACGTGGTTGAACAGGAAACCATTGTTGGATGGAAATCGCATAATCTCTTGAGTCTTGACTAGAGTAAGGTTATTTTTTGCTCGGTCCCCGCTGAAAAATAGCGACTTAAACAAAGCCGCATCTCACGCAGAAAGGAAAATTTGGGTAGCAGCAATGCCGGGAGTAGTAGTAGTAGTAGTAGTAGTAATAATAATAATAATAATAATAATAATAATAA